ATCTGAAAGCTGAAGACTAAAACCATCATCTAATTCTAGAGAGAGATCTCCAATAGCTTCAACTTTAGCTTCAACTCTATTTGCAACTTTAATTCTTCTTTCTCCTCTTTGGAGTGTCCTCCTCGTACGGAATTCCTGTAATGAATTTGCAATATGAACAGTTGCACCTAAATCAATCCACCAAGTAGATTTTGCATAACTTAAAAACAAGGATTCACCTATGAATGTAATGAAATCCTCACATCTCTTCAGAAGGCGCTTCAGGAAGTCTGGACAGTCCCTCTGGTAATGTCTATGCTTCTTGCACCATTTACACCGATCCTTCTCAACTTGAGCATTATTGTTCTTCGGATGGTGGTCATTCTGAGAGGCTTTCCCTTGAGGTTCGACATTCTTATTGAAATTCTTCTTTTTATTGTCCTTCACAAGGTTAGCAGAGTCATCTTGTGAGCTTTTTAGCCTCTTCCCTTCTTGAACACACATTGCGATGAGCTTCTCTATACCCCATTTATCGGGTTGCATGTTGTAGTTCACAACAAAAATTTTATATTCTTTGGGTAGGGAAGCAAAAACCAAATGAATCAGTAACTCATCCTTGAGCCCCAAATCCATTGGCTTCAGCTTCAAAGCCGTGTTGCTCATATTTAGTATGTGCTCTCTAATACCGCCACCAGTGTATTTCTCATTGAACAATTTCTTGATCAAAGTACTGGCATAAGCCTTTGAAGAGTTAGTGAACTGACTCTCCACTTTCTTAAGATACTCTGTGGCGGTATCATAATCTAGGATAGACCCCCTTATAGCATTTGAAATTGTGGACTTAGCCACCATCAAGCACTTGCGGTTTGAAATATTCCATTTGTTACGTTTGAGATCATATTTCATCCGCACTTCTGCATGATCTCGCTACCGAGCAGTGAAATCAGTATCAGTCTCATTTTCTTCCCTTACTAGGTCCACTGGTTCAGTAGGACACGGGGAGGTAAACGTTAGGTCATTTTTAGACAGCGCAAGTGCTAGTTCATACTTCTCTTGCCATACCCTATAGTTGCTCCTTCAAGAGGTGGTATGTGCGAGATAAATGCCATTGAGTTGAGTCCTGAAAAACACCGTCAGAGATATTGAGAAAATATGACATAATAATTGCATGCTTTAATTTAATGTTGGTCAAAATTAAAACATACAACATTCTTATACACTAATTCTACATCATCGTTGGACGAAATAGAATTAATACATGAAAAACTTATGAATAAACGTTATAATATTGCTATTATCAACGTTGATCAGAAAAATAACAATATTATAATTTACTGACTAAAGAACTGTTCTTCAAATTAAATTCTCCCGTTGGTTCAAATTTAATTGGAAGATAATAAACTTTAACATTGCAGCAGAAACATGAAAAAATATTTATCTACTTTTTAGAAGCATTTTATTGTATTAATCTACTCTCTAAAAAAATTATCCCGTTGGTTTAAATTTTGACAGAGATTTAAACTGAACAAAAATCATCGAAATTTGCTTCTAAAAATATACAAAACTTAGAGTTCACTGTTCATTTGGCCCGGCCTTGCGAAACAGTCCGCGGCGCATGAAAATTGTGCGTCCGCGCGCGCGGCCCAGCGGCGGTCCAGCGACCTGCTTAATAGCGCGCGCGCCCGCTCCTCGTGCCCAGGCCGCAACCTGGGCCTGGGCTGGGAATCCGCTCGCCCACATGGGCTGAATCCGGTCCGAGCTCTGCTGAGTGTCCAATGAGATCGAACGGTTGTCCGCGCGTTTTGCTCGAGTAAAACAGCGCCGCGGCCGCTCTCCCAGAAACCCTAGCCTCATTCGCTTCTCCCTCCCTCTCCTCTCCTCAGTGCTTAGCGCGTGGCGCAGCAGCGACCGCGACCCAAGAGCTATCGGAGAAGAGAAGGCCGCCGCTGCCGCAGGTCCCTTCGCCGGCGCGCGCGTTTGCCCGAGGGTGAGCGCGCCGCCGTCGAGCGGGCTTGGAGTGGCGCCCTCAGCCGGGGCTCGCGTGCACGGCGACGAGCGCGGCTCGGCTTCTCCCCGCGTGCCGGCGAGGCTGCGGCGGGTGCATCTTCCCGCACGAGGCGGTGGCGACGGCGGCTAGAAACCGGGTAGGTCTTCCCCCTTCTCCTTCCATCCATCTAGGGTTAGGGTTTCGGGTAGGGTTTCAATCCAATTCGAATCGAGCCCCCTCCTTCTGTTTTCTTCATGATTTCTACCCCAAAGACTAGATCTACATCTATACTAGGCGACTGATACCATTGATAGTTACATAGGATCGGTTAGGTGTAGATCAGCCGGGTCTAACTGACATTTGGGATAAATAGTGAACCCTAGAACATATACTAGTAATGGGAAGAGAGAGAGAGAGAGAGGTGCGGTGATGCAAACCATCGGCCGCCTTCAACGAAGACGAACTGGCCATCGCTGGTGCGCGGTGGAGGTGCGGTGGTTACTCGGTGAAGGCGCGACGGTGACGCTATGGAGGCGCAGTCGCAGGGCGGCGGTGTAGAGGCGGGGTGAAACCAGTGGCGGTGCTTTCTGTCGCTGGCAGCGCCCCTCTCTAGATTGGTTAGGGTTTGAGATGTAGGTGGGGTGTCTAGCGGCTCAGGTGAACCTCGTGCCTTGTACCCCGGCCCCCACCTTCTTTTTTATGACGCTGTGTGATGGGGCTCACCAACCATAATTAGGGTTAGACGCCTCCGATCAGAGCGCGGATCAAGACCCAATTAATCGTTGGGCCAAACTGGTGGATTCAATCTAACATCCTGAGCTCGATCGGCACCGGCAGCTGCAGCTGCGCAAATGACGACGGATCGGAGTCGCTGCTGATTAATTAAGTGATGTACAGCGACATCCCCGCGCGCGCCTCTAATGGCTGCCGCGGGCAAGCAAGGGCCCTGCTGCCGTGCTGCGTGTGTGAGCCGTGAGGGCTCGCTCCGCTGCCGTCAGATTAACAGTAGTAGTGTGCCCCGATCGAGTCTGAAATGCACTAGCGAGCGAGCTGCTTGGGACACATATCATGGTGTCCGTAGGGAGCTACGGATACAGGTACACGTACACGTCAGTCGATGATTGAGCTGTATCACAATTAGTGTGCGGTCCATTTGGGCTTATCATGAGAAATAATTGCGTGTCATCCACCGGGTTGACTATGCTGGTTCAGGGCTGATGGAAGTCCAATTCTCTGCTGCTAAGTCTGCTAGACTGATGATGGGTGGGTACGTTACTATAAGCTTGATCGGGCTACATGTAAAAAATGAGAAGCTTGGCCAACTGCTGAACCATTTGTACTTCGACATGTTATGATCTCAGATTCAAATCAATTAGTAGTCCAGCTAAAGGTTATCTTCTGTAAAACTACAGTTGTTTGAGTGTGAGTGGTATTAATGATAGATGCTTCTTATCATCAACTTAATCAGGTCACATGTTATCTCAACAGGGTTGATCTATTACGTTGCATCAGCCGTTTACTGTTCTTCCTCCGATCAACATATCAACGTGTCAAGTTCAATCCCACGCTTTCCTTCTTTATATATAGTAACATCACCCCAGTTCTTCTTCGCAGCGTGGTTACATCTTCTTCTACCCCGTCCCAAATTCACATAGCTAGCAAAGAGAAGGTTAAACCCTCTCCGGCCGTGTCGTCCTCCTTGCTAATCACCCCAGCGTCCTCTTGTCTCCTCCGGTAGCTCTCCTCTCGCCATGCATCTATATTTTTCCATTTGGCACTAACACGATGGGCCGGCCCAGGCATGGCACGGAAAAGCATGGCCTAGGCCCGGCCCGGCCTAGCTAGCATCGTGCTCGTGCCTGGCACGGCCCGGCCGTAGTGCTGTGCCTGGGCCGCTAAGTCGGCCCGCAGTGCCGGCCCAGGCACGACATGGCTAAATAGGCCGGCACGGCTCCTCCCTTCAAAGCCGTTGGATCCCCCTCCCCCGCTCTATCTGACCGTTGGATTTGCCTGTTGGAGGGAGAGGGCTATATAAACCGCCTCACCCCTAGGGAGGTATCCCACCCTAACCCTAATTCATTTTCATCGCCGCTCTCTCTCCTGTCTCGCTCTCTCGTCTCTCCGCTGTGACGACGACTCTCCACTCCTCTCTTCTTCTCCCCATCCGGTGGCCGGCACTGGCACACGGCACGGCATAGTACACCCCTCTTCTTGATCTCGCATCGTCGATGTTGCCTCGTCCTCTCCTTGTCGTGCTCGTCGTCGTCTCTGTCGACCTCACCAGATGCCGACTGCTCTGGTGCTCCAGATTTGAATCCGTTGAGGAACCAGGGGGTCGGATCTGTGTTTTGTCGACGTCGCCGACGATTCTGGAGCTCCGGATGCGAAGGTAACCCTAACCCTAACCCTAGATCTGTACTGGCTCGATGTTTTTGTGAAGCTGTTGAGGAACCGGGACGCCGACGAGTGACGATAGCCGGCTCCGACGACGAAACGGTTGAGGTCGGCGCCAACGAAGAGAGGCGCTAAAGCTCTTAATAAATCGTTATTTTGTTATCTCTTCCTGTGTTTGTGACTTTGTGTCATCTGTCAATCTATGAGATGTGATTATGCGAAGTTATCTGATTTTGAATGTAAGTTTGATCTCAACTATGAATAAATTGACATATTTTGTGAAGTATATGTTATTCCTCGTTGTTCTGAGTTCACTGAGGTGTCAGGCACTTATAGTGCCCGTGCCGGCACAGACGCCGTCGTGCCCAGTGGCACGGCGCGGCACGCCTAAGGCATCATAGAGCCGTGCCTGAGCCAGTACTTCGGCACGACGACACTATCATGCACGGCACAGTATGTTAACCGTGCCGCGTAGTGCCGTGTCTCGCAGTGCCCGTGCCCGTGCCAGTGCCGTGCTGGGCGGCCCATTTGGCCAAGTATACATGCATCCCCCTCCCCCACACCAGCTGTCCACCTAACATTGTCACCCACACGTACGCGCACGAGCGCGGAAGCTAACCCTACCGCGGCGCTCAAAGCCATGGACACACCGCAGTCGTCACGCGCACGTCCACCTCAACTACTGTCCAAGCCAAACCCACCTTCTTCCCCTCCCCCGCCGCCGCCCATCTCCTCCGCCACCACCTCCCCTTCCCACGACTTCTCCTTCCCCTCTCCCTTCGGCGGCCACCTGCTCCCGCTCTCCATGTCCCGCACCCCCGTCGGCCGCGTCGGCAGCGACCTCAGCCACGCCAGAGCGAGCCATCATCACGCCACCACCACGAGCAACGGCGGCATCACTACTAGCAGCAAGGACAGGGACAGGGATAGTAGTAGGGCCAAGAGCAAGGCCTCGCCTTTCTTCTCCGGCCTTGGCGCCGCGTGGAGGAAGGATAGCAGCAGCAGCGACGTGACCGGAAGAAAGCAGCAGGCCGAGGAGAAGAGGAAGGATAGGGCCAAGCAGAGGGCGCTGGACGTGGGCCAGTGGGTGAAGCGACACATGGCGTCCATGGTGGAGCAGCTGCGCGCCTCCTTCTCCCGGCAGCAGTCGGAGAGGGAGAGGCGCGAGCATCAGCGCCGCCGGCCACACTCGTTCTCGGGCCACGGTCCGGGCGCCGTCAGGGAAATGAGGGAGCGGGAGCGGTGGAGGCGGCGGCGCGGGCAGCTGTCGTCCGCGCCGGCGTCGCTGCGCGTGTCGCCGGCGAACAGCGGGCACCTCTCCGTCGGCGGGTCGGTGAAGGTGTCCACGTCGTCGGAGGAGAGCACCATGGAGGAGCTGCAGAGCGCCATCGAGGCCGCCATCGCGCACTGCAAGAATTCCATCTCCGTGCCCAAGCAGACGGCGGCGGCCGGGGATGACACCAGCAAGCTTCAGTAAACCGTAGTTGGTAGGGGCGCTGCAGCTCGTGCGACGTACGTGCTGCACTTATGGATTATTTGATCGAGCTTGCAGATCAAAATTGCAGAAGCCGAGTCGTTTGGTTGGATCTCACACAGTCGCATGTAAATTAAGATGTAAGAAGAGATAAGAGCGGTATACACATAGTTTTTTTTCCCTCGTCAAAACCTCGTGATTTATTGTCAGAATTGTTGTTGTGTTTGTACTTTGGCATGCTATATAGATGATTTTAGTTTTTAGCCGCGTCTGCTAAGATGGGCACACTACCGGAGACTGTGTATTTACCGAGTGCTCCGAAAATTACCGAGTGTGAAAAGTCGGGGCACTCGGAAAACATTATTTACCGAAAGTGCCAACACTCGGAAAACATAAACACCGGTAATAAACCTCTTTACCGAGTGAGCACACTCGGTATATTCGCATACTCGGTAAAACTACAAGTTTACCGACGGGGGCACTTTTCGGTAAAATGGTCACTCGGTATTAACGTGCCACGTCAATTAGGACAAGAACCGTGACCGGACGCGGCGTGCGGGCATGACATGTTTACCGAGTGTTATGATCATACACTCGGAAACATGAAACTTTTACCGTGTTGGGCCAATACACTTTCGGTAAACACTATATTTTTACCGAGTGTATTGTCCCAACACTGGTAAAATTCAACCAAATTTCTTGTTTTTCCCTTCATTCTTTTTCCTCTATCCACATATGGTATTTAGTACTCCATTCCAAAATATGGTGTTTATTTCAATTTATTTACTATATTTCACAAAAGTTTCATTCTTTATGAAAATTAGGAACATATCGTGTGAATTTAATTGTAATAATTAAAATCGAACTTGATAAATCACAAGATTGGAAGAATTAACATTGAAGCATACATCTATGTTATAGAAAAAATTTCAATAACGTTTTGAAGTATTTTTACATTAAATGGTTGTTTAACCGTACATCTCCCAAAGAGATGCTAAACATTCACAATGACGAGTAGGATTTCTATTAAGAGTGAAATTCAACAATATGATTTGAACTTGGAATTTTTTAGATAGTAAATAGATGACATGAAATAGTTCGTGTGAAAGTTTGGTGAATTTTAGGATTAAATTGGCATTTTTTCTTTTTTGTTTTGCATGAAATAATGGATACAGTTACCGAGTGTGACCTGAAACACTCGGTAAAGGTTAGCCACGACCCACTTCTACCACGGTTTACATTTCCACAACCGTAGATATGGGCACTCGGTAATGTACCAGGCTTATGTTTACCGAGTGCCGTAGATCTGGGCACTCGGTAAACATGTACCCCACATGTCATTGGGCTGCGGTACTTGAGTTTACCGAGTGCCGTACATCTAGGCACTCGGTAAACAGAAACATTCAACACAGCCGTTTCTCCCTCAAATCGCACACTGAGCACGCCACACACACACCCGCACACGCCCCCCACCGCCGCCCATGGCCGCCCTCCTCCCCTCCACCACCGCCGCCACCGGGCGGTCCCCATACCGCCCACCGGAGAGAGGAGAGAGAGAGACACGGCACCAAGCCGGACGACGATCCCTCCTCCGCCGACGCCGCCTGCAGGTGCTCCTCCTTCGCCCTCCTGCCACGAGGTGGGGTGGGGTGGGCCCAGCTGAGCAACGGCGACGGCGAGCACTCTCCCCTCCACCACCGCCGCCACCGGGAGGGCGGTCACCCGCCACCAGGGACTGACTACTGCCACCAAGGCCGCCTCCTCCCTCAAGCTCCCTGCTCATCTGTTGGTGAATTAGGTAACACACCACTTTGCTCCCATGCATCCGCTTGGCATTACAAAACTAGACAAAGACAGCTTCATCACATCAAAGGGCTTATTCTCTTGATTTGGATTTATTTTACCACCCTTTTATTGTCGCCCCCATTATCTGGAAGCAACACAACCTAGTCCACTACTCCATCAGTTTATTCTAGTGTTTGGCTAGCACTGCTTAGGACATGGGTCATTGGGTCCTGCCTGCTTTGTGCCTTCAAAGAAATCTGAGTGCTCTCTTGAGCTCCCGAAATCTCTCTTGAAAAAAATTGTTGAACTATCACAATGAAAATAATCAGTTGAACAAAGTGAATCTCTTGGTAGAGCTGGAAATGGGCTAGACCGTACATGGTTGTATCAATAACTATTTAAGCACCAAGATCAAATTAAGTTTATTCATGTTCGGCCTTTCCGGATGAATAGGAAGAACTCGAATAGGAGGAGCACTCACCTGTAGTATGAGTAGGTAGATGTCGGAGAGCCCAAGTATCTCCAGTTTGGCAGCTTTTTAGTACTAAAATTACAGTACCAGGACTGTTGAAATAGAAGAGGGCTTAGTTACGCAAAAGTGAGTGGATAAACAGCACTATAGTCATATAGTGAAGAAACCAAAGTAACAATCCACCCACTCAGGAAATGGAAGCAATAGTAAGCTCAAAAATTGACATCTAACAAATTAGGAAAAATCGAAGATGCAACATATAGGTGCCCCATTGCGTCATTACATCATCTACATTGAATGTAACATAACAGAAAGAAAAAGAAGTAAAGATGGAAATACAAGTCACCACGGAAATACCTGAAACCTAGCAAATTGCCTTTATTGGGCAGTCATAGTCCTCATTGCGGTTTCAGCATATTTCCTCAGTGCCGGTTGCTTTGGCCAGAAGATCTCTCATTGCCGGTTGAGCATACATCCACATCTCTACTATAAATTCCATCCTTTCCACTAGAGAATAGTAGCTGAACCCTGTACTCCTAGCTGCCGTTCCATCCTTTCCACTAGAGAATAGTAGCTGAACCTGTTCTCCTAGCTGCCGTGCAAGTATTTCTAAGGCTGCTATGTACACCACTTCAATTACAATCCTTCTTCAAATGTTGAGGGATCAGAGCACACGCTTTCCAAGGTTGCTTATGGTAGGACCTAGGAATCACTAGAGGATTGAGTGGCGACCCCAAATTGGGAAAGGGAGAATGGTTAGCCCACCACTCGGGTGTGACTCCGTGGTTGGTGGACGAAAGACAAATAGCCGTAACCTTTTGCAAATCTAGTAACCAGGAAAAGGGTTGCCATACCAACAGTTTTGGGTGTGCCAACTTTCCCAAATGAATGATTTCACCGAGGTCCCATCACGCACGCAATAATAATTTTGACAAAGAATACGTGAGGCGAGATTGACAGAAGAAAGTGCCCGTGCTAGTATGTCTAGTGGCACAAGTGCTTCTACCATGAGGCTTTAATATGTTAAAAAAAGTTAAAATGATTCAGAAAGGAGCTTTTTTTCCGGATCGTTGCCACTACCACAAACCGTGATGTGAAAGATACTAATTACAAAAGGGGAAAAGAGAACTTTTTGGGCTGCCTAGCTATCCTAACGTGGGACTTCATGAAGATGCCATCCCCACTAATAATGGAAGATCCCTCTAATGATATCGCACTCGATGGCAAGCATGTAAACCTGAAATGTTCCTTTTCGTGGACGCCCCACCACCACAAGCAAATTCTCTTGCATGCAAACCCCGATGTGGGGCAATCGAATATTAGCGCACATTAGACTTTGATGTGGGCAAAACTCTAACAAGATGACCTGATAGGTACCCAAAATATCCTCCCAAGTACTATTGTGAGTTTGACAACAATAAAGGACCACTTTGCCACTGAACTTTCATTTCCATTGTTCATAAGGATGCACTCATGAAAAGACCACATGAAAGTGTCCTAGATAGTGAGAAACAGCTCTATCTTAACAGTACAACTACAGTTAAGCTGTGCCAACAATCAGTACTGTAAAACCTGACAATTCTCAATGCACATGGTTAATTTCCTATAAATAATGCACAAGTAGCATCCATGTATCTTGAATTAGATAGTGGCCAGTATGACTTAAACTGTAACATTTTTAGGGTAACTAATACTAATGGCATTTCATATTAGCATCCATAGGAATAGGAGAGTAATAACTTATTTCACTAGCGGTTGACTTCGGTCCTCAGTTTGGCATTTGTTTGATTCAGGGGAATAGATACATGCCATGAAAACATAGAATGGTCAACTCAAATAATATAGAAGGTTAACTACACGTTTGGAAGACAGATAAATGGGATTTTCAACCTGAAAATACAAAGTTATGTCCTTGTAATTGTGATATTAATGTTACTTACCAGATAACAGAAACAATAGGGTGAGTTAACTCCAAGAATAAAATCTGAATTTTCTTTTTGCTAAGTTGGGCAATCACTAAAGTTGGGCAATCTGAATTTTCTTTTTGCTAAGTTACCAACATGAGGTCCCAAGTTCTGTAAAAGGAACTGGTCACTAAGAGCACATAATTCAAGAACACTATAAGCCAGAAAATTAAGCTGCTGCCGGTTGCATTCCAAAAAAAAAAATTAAGCTGCTAGAACTTTACAGTATTTCATTTGTTAAGATAGGGAAGTATTGCTAGGGGAAAGAACATTTTTCTTCACTGTTTCACACATGTCAAAAGCTATGCAAACTCAAAAGAAAACTGAAGAAAAAAATCTCAAACTCTAATGGGCATCATATAATCGAAATATGCATAGGTAAACTCTTCTGAAGCGCAAGAGTAGAAGCAGCAGAAATTTGAACCTTTGATGCGTCTCAACTCTTTACAGAGGGTGATAAAATCTCATATGGTTTTTCTCTAGCACTACTACTCTGTTGCTCTAAACTGCAATATCGTCTATATGTTAGGATGGATGACCGTCAGTGGATGTACACGGGCTATCAGAAGAGGACCTTATGATTAATTGACAAATATGTTTATTTTCTTTTGCTCCCTCATTCCAGGGACCTTCTACAGCTGGATCGAACAACGATCAAGATTTGGACTTGTCTCCGTTTCTCGGTAGGGCTCCGACCATGTGACAGGACCATGTTTCACTTGTTTGTATGTTGAACTTAGAAGTGGGTTGAACTTTGTGGACTTTGGACATGTTGATGGTGT